CCTTTCTCTGTCTGTAACGCTACCTCTCAAATAAATAAATAAGTCTTTAAAGAGAGAGAGAGAGAGCCTACATGCAACTGCATATGACTTCCTTCCCCTTGTGGTCTCTGTTAAACTTTCTGACCAGCCGGCACCGCGGCTCACTAGGCTAATCCTCTGCCTTGCGGCGCCGGCACACCGGGTTCTAGTCCCGGTCGGGGCGCCGGATTCTGTCCCTGTTGCCCCTCTTCCAGGCCAGCCCTCTGCTGTGGCCAGGGAGTGCAGTGGAGGATGGCCCAAGTGCTTGGGCCCTGCACCCCATGGGAGACCAGGAGAAGCACCTGGCTCCTGGCTCCTGCCATCGGATCAGCGCGGTGTGCCGGCCACGGCGGCCATTGGAGGGTGAACCAACTGCAAAGGAAGACCTTTCTCTCTGTCTTTCTCTCTCACTGTCCACTCTGCCTGTCAAAAAATAAAAAAAAAAATTAAACTTTCTGACCAACCTCCGTGTGCAAGGCTTTCGCTGTGCTGTTCCTGTGATTGTGCCCATGTCTACCTAAGACGCTCCTGGTTATTCTTGATATGTTAAAGTAAACATCAAATTTTCTGTGGAAAGAGTACACTAATTCCTTCAAGATGAGATTGAATGTCCCCTGTATTTGCCACTTCATTCTTTCCAAATTCTTATTTTTGGCCTTTTTGTACAACTTAATAACCGACCCCTTTTGTTGTGGGAATTCCCTTGCAGATAGAAACCCTGTGGATAGAAAAGGTTTCACCGTGATGACATCCCCCAATCTCTCACAACCCAGAGTGTAGACTGAGAGCTTAGCAAATAGATGCTAAGTGAAAAATAAATGATGAGTGAGTTCACGTAAAATAGGAGAAAGTCACTTGAATGCTGAGTGCATGTAGACTCAGGCTTGAGATGCAGAAATGAGGAGAGAACTTTCTTCCCCAGAAAGGAAGAAAAGAGAAATTGGAGGTGGGAGGGGTGGAACAGGAGAGAACAGTTCCCAAATGTCGGTCCTCTCAACAGTGCAGGAACTAGCAGAACGAACTCTGGAGAGCAAAGTGAGACATAGCGCATTCACTGGCTTGAGAAAAATCAGGATGGTTGTAAACAGTTGCCGATAACAAATCTATAGTGAGTCACCAAAAGCTAATTTGCAATACTCCTTGGCAACACGGATTCTTGTTTAGGAAAAACAGCTTGAATCTGTAGCAGATCCATTTACTATGATTATATGGTTTTCTTCAGCTTGCTTAAGGGGAGGGGGTAGGGAAAGCTCTGGGGTTTCCAAAGGCAGGTGCAGGTGCAGTGGGGCTCCAGGAAGCCAAGAGGCTCTAAGATGGTAGGGAAGAGAGAGAGACTGATTAGAATGATGGGGTTGGGTAAAGAAGGGCTTGAAAAATGAGGAGACTGAGAGAATGAGAGAGGCAGAGAGAGTTGTAAGCAGACAAAATACAAGAAGGAAAGGAAGGCAAAGTCTGGGAGATTGAAGAGGTGGAAAACACAAGTTAAGCAGAGTTTGTGACCCAAGAGAATGTCTTGTAAATATGAAATATTTGGAAAAGAATAAATCCTTTTAAATTCTCAGCAACTAAAATATGAGGAGATTTCAAAAAGTTCATGGAAAAATAGATTTAGAAGGCAAGTTTATTTTGATTGGAAAAGTTCTAAAATTAATGCATAGATTTTTTGTAATATGGCTTTTCCACAAAATTTTTGAAGTCCCTTCCTAGATGGATATGGTATTTTGAAATGGGAACAAATGCTTTTCCAAATCTAAGATATAACTTAAGCTGCTTGAGGACAACTTACATTAAATTGCCGTTTTTCTTTGATGTTCTTTCTCGACTTCAACAAGTGTGGTTTCCTTTCATGTGGATGATTCCTTTGGGGCTACATCCAAGAGTGGGCCAGAATATTAATCTACCTGTGGAACGCTCCATGCCTGCTGTAAATGAAGAGGGAGAGTAGAGTGAGGTCCTCTTGACAAGGAATGTACCTGATAACGTGCTGGAAGTATTTCCCACTCAGGCCTGCATTTGTAAGATAATAATGATCTTCCAATGTCTTGGAAACAAGATGCGCAATGGTACCTTCTCTGGTGCCCAAATGCCAGTTTAGGGGCCATCAGCATCTACACAGCCAGCATGTCGCTTTGTTGTCAGTTTTGTGCTTCTAACGTTGCTTTGCTTGACTGTAGTTTTCTAAGAACAAGGAAGAAGTAGTGTTTGTTTCCTCTTCAGTGTCTTGTCTACAGCTGTAATCTAATAAAAAGAGATTGGGATGGGGCGGAGCTTGTGTTTGGCCCGGCAGTTAGCACTTTGGTGAAGGTGCCTGAGCCACATCTCAGGGCCTGAGTGTGAAGTCTGTGCAGCTCCTGATTCCAGCTTCCTGCTGATGCTGACCCTGGGAGGCAAAGGTGACAGATGCTCAAGGAATCGGGGCCTGCTACCGTGTGGGAGATCAGGATTGAATTCCTGGTTCCTGGCTCCAGCCATCAGCCAAACTTGGCCATCGTGGGCATTCGAGGAGTGAACTGACAGATGGAACCTCTCTCTATTTCCCTCTCTCTCTCAAATAAATAATTTAAAAGAAGTTGGACTTGATTATTTGAAATTCTTTAAGTTATTCAAATATGTGTAGGAATACCTGCGCTGATTTAGGAGGTAACATTGGACCAACATTTCCCTCCATTGCTCCTGGTTTAAAAGAGAAGAATGCGTGATATTTTATTTCTACTCTGTGGCTTGATATAATGAGAGTCCCAAGTATAGCATATGATACAGGCTTCCTGTCACTATCATCATAATGATAATACATAAATAACAGTAATGAAATGTGTTCATCTGTTAACATTTTACAAAGTTGTTTCATATGCCTTAACCTTAGAATATTTGTTTTTGTGTGAATTATTTTGACAGACGAGGTGAATAGAACCCAGTTTAAAATAACTCAACTTGAAACAAACCCAAGCTGAAACCTAGGCATCTGAAGTGAGAAGTGAGAGTCTTGCCAAGGGTCGTGAAAGTTGTGAGTGACTGAGCGTGCAGCCCCGTGATGTTTGTGCACACACGCAGGTGCACCCGGACACATTGCTAGGAGCCAGACATCAGTGTTGTTGTAATGCTGGTTTGTGACAAGAAACCCAAATCCCATGTCACGTTATTTATTCTGCTCATCGTTGCTCATGAGACAAACACGTATATGTAAATAATTGATGCATTTAAACAAGTATAAGCTTTGCAAACAATTACGAATGTATTATTTGATGTATCTTTTAAAAAACCCTAGGGCTACGTGATTCTGTGCTGTCGTTATTACTCTCCTGCTCTTGTTCACTGCCACACTGAGCTTTCAATTTGAATAGGTAATATTTCATATGTTTCACATTACCTACAGAGTCTGTATAATTTGCCTGCAGCCCTGTGAAATGCACTAAGTGCCTGGTCCCAGAGCAAATGTTAAAGGAAGGTTACAAGCATAGAACACATGATAATGATGATTACTCACAGGTGTAAAGTTCAGGACTAAATAACTTGGATTGGATATGGATAAAACCAGTTTCAGGGTTCTGATCTCTTTCCTGGTCTCTCAAGACTGATGCTGACCCGTGTGTATGTATTGCAATGTTGCCTCGATAACGTAATTCACTGTGGGAGTAAAGGTAGATTACTGTAAGAATGTAAATGTCTGCGATGTCCTAAGTGCTTTTCGTGAGATAAACTCAGTTTTAAGCATGTTAAAGCCATAAAACTATGACATTTTTATAGAGCTTGTATAAGCCACAGCCATACCAACTCAGGTATTCGCAGCAGCATTTTTTAGTGGAAATTTGAAACATTGCTAGTTTCCATTCTGTATAAAATACACAGAAGTCCTTGTCCTCATTGAGCTTATATTCCACTGGGGTTAGGAGGGCGGAAGATGAAGATGAAATGGGGAGGGGGAGATCACATCAGGCATTGAATGGTGTTAAGAAAGAAGGCAATGCATGGAAGAAGTAGGGAGTGAGCAGCAGCTGAGATGTCACTGCTTCACGTAGGGAAGTCAACCGATCTCTGTGAGTAGGTCGTATTTGAGTGAAGACTTGATATAGAAGCCAGACTCCAGCAGTAAGGCCATACAAGGGCAGAAAGTTACTCAGGAGGCAAGACTGAGCAGTGTGTTGGAAGGCCAGGCAGGGAGTCGGTCTTTGTGGCCTGGTGGATGTTGGAGAAGGAAGGGTAGGTGGGGAAAAGGCAGGAGAGAGAGCAGGGACTCCATCATGGATGGCTCTGGTTGTTGGAAGGGGTTACAGTTGAGTATTGTGAGTTGGAAAGAGGGTGGCGTGGAGGGGCATCTCGGGGCTTCATTCTGGTTGACGGAGGTTGAAAGGTGAGAACAGGAGCTACTTAGGAAGGGAAGGCGAGGATCCGGGCAAGCACCATGGCCTAAGAAGGTGACAGTGCAGGGCGGGGTCAGAAGTGGGGCTGAACGGTGGACAAGTTGATGGACCAGACGTGGCGGGTGAAGGGGAGGGAGCTCCAGGGGGACTCCAGGGCTCTGGGCCTGCGCTCCCAGCACAGAGACGCTGGCATTTACGGAGAGGGAACACAGGAGAGGACTTGCACTTCTGATGGCGAGTTTGATTCACATAATTTTATGGCTGATAGGAAGAATAACAATGGTGATGGCAATAAATAATATCTGATAGTCCTTGCAGTTTGCAAAATGTTTTAATATCCACTAATGCCTTTGCAATATGTGATCCCATGAGAATTCCTGCACCTACTCACAACCTTCCAAACCAAATACGTGGATTTTTCTGGACATTTAAAGTGATTTGTAGCATACTTTAAAATGCATAAAGAATAGTTCACATGAACTGAAAAAGTGAACTAAGGAAAGATTTGTTTCTAAAAATAGCTCAAATAAGAGGTAAGACAAAAGCGAGAGTGGACTGCTATTAATGGTGCTACGTAGCAAAGTGTGAATCAGTGTAATGAGTGTGCTGTCATTTGTCTCCCAGATCCGAGGTTCATTAGCGCTCACCTCATCCCAGAGAGTGACAACCCCGAAGATGACAAAGTGTACTTCTTCTTCCGTGAAAATGCCATAGACGGAGAACACTCTGGAAAAGCCACTCACGCAAGAATAGGTCAGATATGCAAGGTGAGGCACCAAGAAGGAAGCAGGGGATGTCATTGTCCACTCATGGTTCATTTGCCCCTTTTCCACCCGTGGGCAAGTACGATGACAGATGTGGCCAGGGCCTGAGTAATCACAGCACGTGTGTACATGACACAGTGTGGCGGGAAACGCGTCACAGTTGCTCTCGAGTGAGTCTTCATCGCCAAGCTTCAGGTGGAGGTCGCAGGGGAACCAGATGACTTCCCAGGTCCATTAAATGATCCTGGTGTGACATTCTAGAGAAGCAAAACCTTTTCAGTTACCTAGGAAAGTATGCTCTTTGGTATTTTCAGGCGTGGTGTTGTTTCTTGTAATCTGTGAATGAATATTTCTTAGAAAACAAGCATTAATTTCAGAGAGAAAATATCAAAGTACATTTTTGTAAATTGATTACAACAGCCTCTGTACATGTCCACATCGTCTTGAAGCTCCAAGCTTCGACTGCCTGAGGAATTCCATTCATTATGTGGCACGTCAGATGTGATACTGCATTGGCCGGCGCCGCGGCTCACTAGGCTAATCCTCCACCTTGCGGCGATGGCACACCGGGTTCTAGTCCCAGTCGGGGCTCCGGATTCTGTCCCGGTTGCCCCTCTTCCAGGCCAGCTCTCTGCTGTGGCCCGGGAGCGCAGTGGAGGATGGCCCAAGTGCTTGGGCCCTGCACCCCATGGGAGACCAGGAGAAGCACCTGGCTCCTGCCATCGGATCAGTGCGGTGCGCCGGCCACGGCGGCCATTGGAGGGTGAACCAACTGCAAAGGAAGACCTTTCTCTCTGTCTCTCTCTCTCTCACTGTCCACTCTGCCTGTCAAAAAAAAAAAAATGTGATACTGCATGATGATATAAGATGCACAGAATAAGACTTTCTTGATGAGTGCTTTTGGATTCGTTTGTGTCACCAGTGCGAAGACCATCGACAGTACTGCTCTTTCCCCGTCACAGTGGCTAGGGCAGCACGCACTCAAGAGGAATAAATAGAGCCAACTGACTCCTGATTAAAGCCCCTTCCAGCTAACCGAAGTCGCAAAGGCAGACTCAAGACGTACTTTAAGACATAATCGTTCTTTTTAAGAAACTATCTTGAAATGTTAATGTGTGTTCTTTTTGTGGCATCTTCTTATCTCAATCATGATCTAATTATTAATGAAAAACTTAAAAATTAGCTATCTAGAAACCATACAAATAATATGTGAAATAGATGAGACTCTTTTCTCTACCAAGTGGAAATTATATTTAAAATAGTTACCACTACTTACAAGGGTTAAAAAATCTTATTATATTATAAGAATTTACTCTAAAGTTATATAAATAAATACAAATCAGTATTCTAATTTATATACACATAAATATTATTTTAAAAGACTGAGTTGCTAGTAAACATATACATACCTTATAGAATTTATGGCAATATTTAGGTTAAAACTATGAGTTTGATTTTGTGAGTTTTATGTTTGTTTCATTTTTTGTAGTGAAGAGACACGTTCAAAATATTTTCTCTGGAATGAATTTCCTTATTAAACATGCAAATATTTTTTCAACATGCTATTTATAAAGTATAAATTGCTTTCAACACTTTAAGCTTATAAAATGTTTGATGCTTTTCAGTATAGATGATAAGGAATGTATGAATCATCCATTCAGTAAGTGCTCGTTGAATGCCTGCTGTATAAGTACTGGCTGTGAACAGGTGTGGGAATAATAGGTAGGAGAGAGAGACTCACACTAAAAAAACAAGAGTAGTAAGTGTTCACTAAAGTGAAGTGACTTCTTAAAAATTATTTTTAGCTGGCAAGTAGAAATTCTATATATGACAGCATTTCAAAAAGTTAATGGAAATGCATATTATTAAAGCACTGTGAACAATAATTGACTGCTTATAGTCCTTGTCTATACTCCTGAGGAACGGGGGTTGTTCTACTTACTCCTTGTTGAATTCTTTATTTAGTGGGAGGTTAAGCTTGTGATTATAAATTGGAAGGATGTCATTGCAAAAGTTAAAAGAAAAATAATAAAGAAGTTAGGAGAGAGGGTGTGAATGAGGGAAGGAGGGTCGTGTGGGAAGATCATTATGTTCTGAAAACTGTATATATGAAATACACGCAATTTGCTTCCTTTATAGAAATCTAAAAAAATTTAAAAGCACTATGTGTAGATTTCAAAGTTTTGTGTATCACAATAAATATTTTCCTTTGATGTATTGAATTATCCTTGCACTTATTATATACAACAAGATGATTGGAAATATTATTGTGAGATGGCAAAGTTGAGTAAATTAATATATTTACTACCTCATATGCTGAAAATTTGCTTTTTGATGTTAACCTACATTTATTGTGAATAATTCCTTGAATAAGAGCTGAGCCAATGTGACCAACAATATAATAAATCATAGTTACTTCTATCCAGTCATTCAACATGGCTGTGGGACTTTTGGAAAATGAGAAATTGGGGATTTCTATAGTTGTAAATAAACCTTTCTTTTGTTTCCAAAAAAAGGGGGGTGGGGGGGAATGAGAAATGGTATCTGGATCCATCCCGAGGGAGAGAGAAAAGAGACGTATCTGGAATATCTGCGTGCTCAGGGCTTACACTGGCTTTCTCTCTTCCAGAACGACTTTGGGGGACATAGGAGCCTGGTGAACAAGTGGACGACCTTCCTCAAAGCCAGGCTCATCTGCTCAGTGCCAGGGCCCAACGGCATCGACACTCACTTTGATGAACTGCGTAAGTAGCTGGCGGGTCTGCTACACAGCACATTTGCTGAGACTTTGTCATAAGCACGAAAAATGCAACTTTCCCCAATTTTGTTTTCTAACAGAGGATGTGTTCCTAATGAACTCTAAAGACCCTAAGAATCCCATTGTCTATGGCGTGTTTACAACTTCCAGGTAATGGACTTTTGATCTAGAAACCCCATGTGCTTTCTGTGCCTTGACGTGTCTGGAATCCGTGAATGCATATTCCTGAAAGATCAAGGTTCATTTGACCTTGGAGCTTTAGTCTATTCTAGTGCGACTGAAGTGAGTTGTGACCTAAGAAGTTATTGTGTTTAAGAATAAATTTTAACAGAAATGTCCTCACTCTATATAGAATCACAGCCTTGAAAAATTTGTCATACCCTACGTAGAGCTTTGTCTTAAAACATTTCAATGAAATGTACAATATTATACTCGTGAAAATGGAAACGTGAATTTCAGTGAGAGTGCATAATGCTACAAGCCAGAATGAGGAAACTGAATTTAGAAGCTGTTATGTATGTAACTAAAACAATTCTCCTTCTGTTCTGTCTCTGGGTCCCTCGGATCAGTGGGGCCTAGAAATCCACAGAAAGTTATCTCCTGAGCAAACGGAGAGGCTCTGGGGAGAAAGTGCACGTAGGAAAGCCAGTGCAGCCATGGCCTCCCACTCCCGCTCCACACACGGCCTCTGCTGCTCTTTCCCGCACAGGCCTCTGGAATTCAAGTAGGAATTTACAGGTTTAGGGAAAGCTGATTGTTCACAAATGAAATACTAAATTATTTTCGGGAAAAAAAATAGTGAATTACTTTTAGCTACTTTACAAAGTCATTAACCATCCAGTAAGCTTAAAGTATAAACATTGTAAAGCTTCTTAAATCAGTAAACACATTCTCTTTTTTTTCATCTAATTGCTTATTTTTAATTCAGACTCCACTTAGATCTTTACTGGCTGCCTTGTAATCAAGATTTTTGAAATAACCATTCTAAAACCTACATCAAAAACCCTTGAGCACTAACTGCTCACTGAGGATAAGCCTGTTTTTTTTGTTTTTGTTTTTTTGTTGTTGTTTTTTGTTTTTTTGTTTTTTTTTTTTTAAACAGGCAGAGTTAGTGAGAGAGAGCCAGAGAGAAAGGTCTTCCTTCCGTTGGTTCACCCCCCAAATGGCCGCCACGGCTGGCGCTGCGCCGATCCGAAGGCAGGAGCCAGGTGCTTCCTCCTGGTCTCCCATGCGGGTGCAGGGCCCAAGCACTTGGGCCATCCTCCACTGCCTTCCCGGGCCACAGCAGAGAGCTGGACTGGAAGAGGAGCAACCGGGACAGAACCAGCGCCCCGACTGGGACTAGAACCCAGGATGCCGGCACTGCAGGCAGAGGATTAGCCTAGTGAGCTGCAGAGCTGGCCAAAGCCTGTGTTCTTTGATGCACAATGTTGCACTTATCCTTACGTTCAGTGTAGAGTTCACATTACCTGAATTTGTTGACAGGAACACACACACACTTTTGCATACTATGTGAATAAGGATACAAATTGACAAACAGACAAAATGTTTTAAAAAATCATTTAAAATACAAAATGAGAAAGAGAACCACAAAGTGACCATGGTAGCATAAAGGGAAAGATTAACTGCAAAGCCCAACCCTACATTATTCTGTAAATATTAAGTCATAACAAATTACTTGGACATTTTACTTTAGTTAAAAATTAACATATGCAAATTAAGACATATTACCAAAACTGTATGCAATTTCCCATGCATGAATATTTTCCCCTTTGATATAAAAATAAAGAGAATACCAAAGAAAATAATGGAGGAGGCTTAAATTAAACACTCATCGATTCCTTCTGCTGCCTCTGTCCTCAGCCCAGTGGGTCTCGGGCTGGAGCGTACCTGCGAGTGACCAGAGGCCACGTTAACATTCAAATGGCTGGACCCTGCCCCAGAGTCTCTGGTTCAACAAGAACGGGACAGGGCCTGGAAATCTGTCTTTGTGTCGAGTCACTGCCCATGTCGTTGGTCTGTGAACTCCACGTTGGCTGTCCCTGGCTGAAGGTCATTGCACCTCTCCACTCCGCCGAGTGGATGTTTGCATGCGAGATCTTCAGAGGGCTCATGAAAATGAGTATGATGAAAACCACAGCCATGGCTTTCAACATTTCTAACACCAAAACAAGCTTACGTTTTCATTGTCCACGTATTCTTCAGTAGTTTAGTGTGAGGTTAACAGCTATAAATCACGTTCATGCAGGTTTTCCCTGATGACTGTTAGCTGTTCCATCAGTAGAGAAGCAAAATGAGTAACATTGGCAAAGAGAAGCTTCGTGTAAACTCTGCATGACAAGCTGTGGTGCACCAGATCTGGGCTAACTTGCTATTGATTCTCCTATGAAAACATTATTGCATTCCCTGCATGTTTGTTAAGGTCCATGTGCACTATCTAATGGATGTAGCCGCGGAGAAGTTAGGCCTGGGCCCTTCCCTCATGGAGTCTGCAGTCTCCCGGTGCCTGTCGGTAGCAGTTTCCCGTGATAAGCTGCCAGCAGCTCATGTTTTCCTTCTGGTCTGATTTATATGTAATTGTCTATGGGAAGAAAAATGGTTAAAAGATAAGCATCCCCTATTTAAGTCTGCACAACTATTTAACATCTTTTTATAAATATGCTCCTCAAAAGTGTAGTGTGTATAAGTAGAATAAAATGGAAAATTGTGCTAGCTCAGTGGCACACTTCCAGTTTATTTCAATTACTTAAAGTGCTAGAAATAATTGCAGTAATTCTGCACTTGCACTGAGCGTAATAGCTACTAACTTAAAACTGTTTTCTGTGATGGAAAGAGATGATTTTAAGTGCCTTGATGAAAATCAAACTCTGTTACTTCATCTAACACGTTTGGTGTTTTGGGAGTTAGAGATAATAGAAGCTGACACATTGCTTGACATTCATGATTGGCTGCACCTGTTTCAGCTTATCCTGTGAATTCTTAAACATTGTTGCTTGTTCAAAAGTTTTATGGCTACAATGATGTTTGCTGCTTAAACAAAGTTTATATTTTGATATTAAAGTGAAACACTCATTTGTAGAAGATCATTAACAGTCTGTGATATGAATGAACAGATTCTGTGCGTTCTAAGGGTGGTTTCTTCCATGACCTCTATTTTTGAGAAATCATCATTTGTTCTCACATATATATTGTTAAAATCTGTATGATTTGTAAAGCACCAAAAAGCCTTGCGGAGTGTTGGAAATGATTCTCTGACCGTTAAGCTCCCGAGCCGTTGTCTAAAGGAACGCCTGTTTTGTCCTCCGCCTCTTCTTCAGTAACATCTTCAGAGGCTCCGCCGTGTGTATGTACAGCATGAGTGATGTGCGCAGAGTCTTCCTCGGTCCCTACGCTCACAGGGACGGCCCCAACTACCAGTGGGTGCCTTTCCAAGGAAGAGTCCCCTATCCAAGGCCGGGAACGGTAAGTGGCTGAGGTGTTCATGTCTTTCTGTCAAAGCTAAATTTTTAAAAATATAGCTATAAACATAGTAAATCAAGACAATGAAGAACCAAGATTCCGAGAGTATCAGTGAAAATAAAAGCAGGGTTCTCTGCTATTCCCTGGAACTTCACAGATCCCAGCGTTTCAGTTAAGTGCTTCCGTTTTCTCATACCATGACTTTTCAGAAATGGAGACTTGTGGGTGCAAACTGCTGAAATCTTCTCTTCACTTAGTATATACTAAATTGATCTTCTGTATATAAAGAGAATTGAAAATGAACCTTGATGTGAATGGAATGGGAGAGGGAGCGGGAGATGGGAGGGTTGTGGGTAGGAGGGAAGTTAAAGGGGGGAAAAGCCATTGTAATCCATAAACTGTACTTTGGAAATTTATATTTATTAAATAAAAGTTAAAAAAGCAAAAAAAAGAAATGAAGACTGAGTGGATGGCCTTCGTTCTTTCTTTCTGAATGGGATGTGGTGGAAATGGCTTTCAGAGACAGCGGAAACAGAGTCCAGCTGGACTTAGTCCCTCTCTTGACAGCTCATTTTGTACATTAAGTGGGAGGGAAAAAATTAAAATTAAAATTTTTAATAATTAAAATATTATCATTAAAGTAGATGAAGAATATACTGGAGAATCAACTTCAGAACCTGTGTACCTTCAAGCTAAGAACAAAAAGTTGGGCAGACTTTTTTTCCAGATTTTTAAGTAAACAATTTTATTTTTAAAAACTCACATTTGAAATGTAGCCATTGGTTTAATTTCACTTCAGTATTTTTTTATTCTGTTGAGTTCAAGCAAATTATTCTAGTTTTTCTAACTATTTCATTAGAGGACACTTTGAGTATTCTTGTTGCTGTACTGCTCAGTCCATTTTTGAAAACATTAAATACTTTGTATTTTACAAATATTAATCTTAGCTGATGAATCTTGTATCAAAAAAAAACAAAATAAACTTTCAGAAAAATAAATAAGACTCAATTATCTTTTTGATTATAGCAAGTCAAAAGGATTTTATAAAAGAAACAATACATTTACCCTATATCTTAATGGTAAACTGTTTTTCATGGTTGGTAGACAGTTTTATATCCCTGTGGCTCATTAATGCCAGGATGTTCTAAATATAAACTAACCCTTTGCGGGTTCATGTCAACAAACCTGATGAAATCAATCCCTAGATACTGTGCTACTATTCTGAGCTACAAAAATACATGACGTTTTTTATCTGAATGTGTAAATAACCTCAAAAACTCATTCTTGTTCCCATTTCGCAGGTGAGAACTCTGAGGGGTTAAGTAACAGAACCAGGGTTCAGTCTGGGTGGTTTAGTTCTACAGCCTGTGTTCTCGTCCACTATTATACCATAGGAAGCTAAGTCAGCAGGGAGCACCAGGGTCGGAGACAGGAGGCTGGAAGCAGTGTCTGACCTAGGAGTTGGAGAAGACACCTCGCTCTGGGAATCAACTTCACTCACCTGAGTGTGTTAATCCCAAAGGGCCCAGCTGAGCATCGCATGCCTTCAGACAGGGCTGGGGAAACCATGATAAGGAAACTGCAAACATTGTGTTGGTACAACAACCTTTTCTTTACTTTCAAGGAAAGGTCTATGATATAGGTATTATTAGCCAGAAAGTAAAAGGACAGCCAGGCTAGAGAACAAGACAAAAATTATAAGACAAAAACTGAAAATAAATCTCATACTTCCATTTTCAACCAGGCATTTCTAAATTTTTGCAGACTATTTTTCATGGTTGTAGAGAAGCACAGGAATAATTTTACATGTCATGAAAATGTTTTATACTCTCTGCTAGGCTTTTAAATAGATATTTGAAATTCTATAAGTAACTGACTTTATAATTTACTTAATAAAAACAAAAAGAAAATTCTTAAGCCCTTTTGTGCATGCATGTATATGTATAAACAATATATATAATATATATATTATATGTATATATATATAATATATATATACATGTATATAATCCTGCCATTTCAAAACAGGTTTATTTATTTCACCTCTCATGAATTATTAATAATTTTTTTCAAGGTAACAACAAAGACAATTGATTTCTCATTCTAAACTTCTTGTAAGATCAGGAACCTTTCTTAATTACATTTTGTCTCCCAAGCCTTATATTAAATGGCAGAAATTAAGCATAAGATGAAAAGCAAGAGATTGCAGATCTTGTACTCTATGAAGGCTTGTCCTGCATAATTAAATGCACGGAAAAGAGATGCAGTGAAGTCTCAATCTCTCCTCCCTGCTGTATTGCCATAGGTGGCATGTTTGTACGCGGTGTGACCATGCGCGTACACAAATGGCACCCTTCTGGCCTGGTCAGGATGGCCATGCTTATGGGTCAGCTTCTGTGCTATGGAGGTGGCTAAACTCTTTGAACAAAAACCTGTCCTTATCTTTAAAAACTGGTCCTTTATTTCTTAAAGTCATTGGCGCTCCTTTTGCAGGGTTGGGTTAGAAATAAAGCAATCTAGAATAGTGTCTTTTAGTTTGAAAGGAGCACTTGTTTTAGCATGATGCCATAGTAAAAAAATTAACATGTCCGAGAAAATCATGCCCTGTGTTTCTCTAACCTAATGATTAATTACCTTCACTTGTAGCATGTTCTGTTCTTTATGTCAAATACTTCATCTATCACAGGAACAAAACTATGGTAGAAACACTAATAGAAGCTTCAGACTTCTCCTGTACTTTGAATTCATTATATATATATATATATATTTATAACTTTGGATAAGAAATTATAATAAATCCCACTGAGAAGTGATACATTTAGGAAATACACACTGTCTATCACAACTAATAATTTAAGTAAGCAATAACTGAAAATAACTTGTATTTTTAGTTTATTAGTTACCTAACTTTAAAAATAATCACATTATGTCCTTAGACTATTGAAATCATGTATTATTATGTCACTTATAATCCTAGACATTGCATTTTAATCAAAACATGTCATCCTCTTTCTGCAAACAGTGTCCCAGTAAAACGTTTGGTGGGTTCGAGTCTACAAAGGACCTCCCTGATGACGTGATCACCTTTGCTAGAAGTCATCCGGCCATGTACAATCCAGTGTTTCCTATTAATAACCGCCCGATAATGGTCAAAACCGACGTGAATTACCAGTTCACACAGATTGTAGTAGACCGGGTGGACGCAGAAGATGGCCAGTACGATGTCATGTTTATTGGAACAGGTATACTTTGGAACTTCAGCTGTGAATTTTCTTGAAGGGCGCTGTGTTTAACTGATTCAGTATGCAAAGAACCAAAGGAGTTGTTACAGTGGCTTGCAAAGTATGGGTCGCCTGTAATGAATGGATAAAAACCCTGAGTACTCTCCTCCTACCAATGCGTTATATATTTAGACAAGTTGAGACATATTGATTGAAAATAAATTTCCTTTTCAATGAAGAGCTGATAAATGTAATCAGGTAAATGTAATGATTGCATGAATAATCAATGTTCAGACTTGAATTGTGACTCTCTTCTGCCAGTGATTTGTTTAGAACAAAGACGGAAATTCTCAAGATGTTCAATAATGGTTCCAGAGTAAATTCATGCAAAATTATCTGAACTTTAAAATTATCAAAGGGCAAAAACCTTCCAGTCAATAAATATTGACAACAAAATTTGTTCAGTGTTTCTGGCATACAACGAGAAGGGGATAAAAGAAAAGTAACTCTTCAGAAAAACAGCAAAACCGATCCAATAGAAACCACCAGATTTATTTCTATAGCAAATTAATAATATTTTACAAATTCCATGAATAGGAACAAATTTTTCGCAGGTATATTTTCAAAGTGATATTTTATTTGTCCCCTACCCTTTTTTAATAGTAATACTGTTTTTCAGAGTACCAGTTACAAATCTGAAACTTGCTACTTAGGGTCAAATTCCAAGGTAATAAATTCCTAGTCTCCATTAACGTTGTTAAGTGACATAAATCAGTGGGAAAGAGAATGAGTGCTCCACTGAAACCTTGTATAATAACATTTATTTTCCCTTGGTGAGAAACAGAAAAAAAAATGCATTAACTATGGGGAGAAACAGGGGGAAAAATCACATTAACTACCCAGAATTGCAACTGTGCAGTAAGTGCCTCGAGGCCGTAGAGTTTTATAACAAAATTGTCAAATCCTTATGTTATCAGGTGTAATAGTTTCAGGTTCTGAACAATATGTTAGAGTCTCTTTTAGGGGAAGAAAGTCTCTCTATCAAATCAAAGAATCCCGTTGAGATACAGGGTTCCATAAAAGTCAATGTATTGCAAGTATCAACTTCTGGTTATAAATATCTTTAGAAAATGTAATAGGATTTCCTTTCAATAAATATTGGTTTATTATTTAATGTCAAATTATAACTGAATCTCTCTGCAGAATAATTAAGTTTGCTCAATAATACCGCACTTGCCTTTTTCTTCACCTCTGCCTTCAACTTGTTGAGAAGTTCTTCTCTCACTGTCAAAGCAACAAAGCTTGCTTCCGGGTGGTTAACCAAAGAAACCCAATCATGAGCTTTTAACTCCTCTCCAACACAAGCTGTCTTTTGAGGCACCAACCTCATGAGCATGTTGAATGTTGGAAGATGCGAATGGCTGTAGGTCGGTACAGACCAGGGTCATCTGTCAGCAAAGGAAATTGATTACAGTAATTTTATCCTTTAACTAAGTTGCACATCATAGTATATTGATCCGAGTTGAGTAATCTGATTCAATTTGTGTGAAATTGTTTGAAATACTACGCGGTCAAGCTTGATCTGGAACAGAGATAAAGTTGTGTTTGGGTATTGGAGACCCGATCGGAGGCCCTGAGCAGATTAACCTAATTTACCTTTCATCTCTGCGTGTTATGAGTAGCCCAAGGTCCTGTAAACATAGAAGGATCCTCTTAAAAGAGGACTCCTTTTTTTTTTTTTTGAACTTTACAAGGGATAAACCAGCAACCTTTCTTGATCTTCCAGCACACAATCATGTCAGTGCCTGAAAATGGTTATCAATGGCATTGAATTATTGAACTATTTTTCTCATGTATCTTATTCTTTATTGGTAAGCTTGTCTTCACAAATAATTAGTCTGTTAAACTGGATTAAGAGGAACCAACTGAAGCTAAGTAGAATTGATTGAGTTTAATCAAAAATGGAATGCAGAAGAGTAAGATTTTTAAATTTACCAAGGCTGTGTTCTTTCAAACAAGGAATAAGAACCCACCTGGGACACTGGAGTTTGAACAGCTTTCTAAGCCACCTCAGGGTAAAGGCTGTTCTAACAGTGAAAAGCAGGGGGGAATAGGATTTGAAATCTCTATAAAGAGTACTTCTCACGGTCTTGACCATTCATACTTCTCATTGCTGAGTTGAATGCTCTCAGGTTGATTAACCAATGGGCACTTTATGGAAAAACTACTGTAATAGGTAATTGTCAGTGTTTATTGGGAGGGATCAGGTTATTGTCGTTCATCACCCAGTGGTCATTGAACTGTCCCCCGCGGGCCCCTTGCTGCTGAAGGCCCACAGGTGACTGGAGGAGGGCGCCCCTGCCCGACTCCCCCTGGGGCTGGACAGCATTCCTTGCATTTTGCATCCATTTAGTCTTCCTGGCCTGCCTGATTTCATAACAGAACTGGGAAAGCCTGCCAGGTCAAGCTGATAGTATGTTGAAGTTTTCCCCTGAGACAGCTGAGGTGAAGGACTTTTTTAAAAACAGCAATAAAAATAATTGATCCAAACTAGCCAAATCATTGTAGTGATTCTGCAAGTTTTAAAAAAAAATTACTACTTCAGGATAAAATCTTCTTCAAAATTCATATGTTTTTTTAAATTCAATGTTTTATATTTGCAGACTTTATCTTTAAAGTTTGTCTAACTGCAAGAATGTATGTTAGAATTTATATTTTGCCAGTATTTGGACAAAACACACCAAAGGAAAACTGAAATCAAAATGTTCTTTTTTGGAAAAAATGCTGATTCTATTCATTAACACTGAATTCTGTTCGGTTCTGTTTAAGCTGTGGTCTTCTCTTTTTCTTTCTAAGATGTTGGGACTGTACTGAAAGTAGTGTCAATTCCTAAAGAGACCTGGCATGATTTAGAAGAAGTTCTGCTGGAAGAAATGACAGTTTTTCGGGTGAGTGCTGGTTAATTTCAAATGTCAACAGGTTGGGTAGTACGTCTTTCTCCCAGGACAGCTGCACACTGAACTTGGTATGGACAAGTAGTGTAGCATACCCTTCTAATTAGCTTGTCAATTAGAAAGCCAGACACTAGTCAAAATAAACCTTGAAACTTTCAATGCTAGTTAAGCCTAAAGATGTAAAGAAATATATTCCTGGCTCATATTTTGTTTTCTCAATGATAAAATAAATATGATTTACATTTTATATTATTTATGTAAGTTACCTCACTGAGTAGACTCCTCCCTGCTCCTAAAAATCTTTTACATTTTACCGTATAGCCGTGTTGCTATGTAACTTCCATGAAAATATTCTGGGAAACACATTCAGAATAACAGAGCGATGAAGGCCTTTCAATCACCCAATCATTTTATAACTTATTCATTAATTTTTTATCCTATATTCTTAAGGAAATCGTTTGTTAAAAGTTTCAGGTTTCCCTATTGCCAGTAGCAAATTTTTACAGATTCCTGGCCTACAAAAGGTAGAAGCATACAGCTGTTTGTCCCTTTGTCTTGAGGCATAGATGGCCCAGGTGTGTTTCTGGAGAGTTAGAGGGGATGGGGGTAGGTGAGGGAAAAGTAGGGATCTGAGGTATTGTAACACATCCACTATGCCCACTGCACCTGTGGGAGGCTGGCTTAACAGGAATGGTCTCAACTGTAGCACGCCTTGACATAAACTATTTATGAGATATGACAGGAAGTCAGATATCTATAAAAGATATGATTTTAATTTTTTGATACAAGAATAGAGCAAAGATACATCGAGACATTTATACCACAAAATGAACTTGAATTAGAAGTGCACGAACAGAAAAATGAGAAAACACTGGAGCTAATCTCACAACTTCAAGTGATTTCATGTAGCCTACACATGTCTCAGTTTATCTGCAAAATGAAGAACAGGATTAAAGTTTTCAGTTGAGTCACTATTTAATGGGAAGCAAAGGCTTCCCAAAACTCTCTCAGCCCCGTATGTCTGGCCCAGAATAGGCAAGCTCCTAATGTGTGGCTATCCAGGTGGAATGATGATGAGCCCTGAAACGTGCCACTGGTAGGTTGTGAGCCAGACACACAGACCGCTGGTAATAACCAGCTCCACTGTGTTCTAGCACAGAGTGGACAGCCCTGTCCAGAACACTTGGCGCTTCCTTCTGAGTGTCCCCTTTCAGAAAACACTGAGAATGCCACCTCCATCACATCGGATGGAGGCACTGGAGACGCCAGCTGCAGAGCACCAAGGATAATCACAGGCGTGTGATTGCTAATGTGATTTTACTGCTTCAGTTCAGCTGTGTTCCAATAGCCTTTTCTACCAAGTCTTGGTTTGAGTCTTTCAAATAAAAAAAAATCATCATTATTCTATCCCAGCTTTTCAGGTCTGGCACTAGGCCTTATTTTCTTTGTGTCTGGTATGGAGTGTTCACTAATTCCTATCATTTACCAAGCCCCATAAATTACCTTGGTGAACAAATACATTGATACTTTATTCTACAAATTAAAGAAACACAATTATCCAAATGGACTGTGCTAGGCACTATAGGGCCCATTTAGATTTAGCAAACAAATTACGGGCGCTGAGCGGTCGGTGTATAAATTGCCGTCTTGTGTTCATTGTTGGGCCTCCAGAGCCCGAGGTACCTTCTCAACCCACATTTATTAAACGAGTGAATGAATCAGAATTAATGAATAGATGAAGTATGAGGAAGTGAGGAGTGTACGGCCTTCCTCAAGGACACCGTGCTTAGAGCAAGAGGAAGGTGACCCAGGAAGAGTAAGAGGTGGGTAAAGCGAGTACCAAACACAAGGATGGAGAGCCAACGAGAGCGGCCATCATCCTGCTGACCCTGCTGCACGCCACTCTCGCGGAACACACCTCTGCAGGCTATAGCCGCCGTCCAGAGACTCACGATGCCCCTCTGTCACAGGTGCAGTGCCACAGTTCTTCCGTCACTGTGGGAATTTAATTCTCTCCAGACTGCTACCTGTGCTATTTGTCCTGGTTCAGTTGCATATTTGCCCTTGGGCATCATACATGACTCAAACAGCATTCATGTATGAATTCAGTAGAAAATAAATACATATACATGCCTAACATGGCCCCAGCACAGTACTAAGTTGGGATGTTACAGGGATGAGTGGTATAAACATGGACCCTGACCTCATACAGCCTGCAGGCTCGCTGTGGTACACGTCTTAGTTTCAAGGACGTCTTCATCACGCCTGCACTTAAACGTTATTTTGTGAAATTGCCTTAAGTCACATGATGACACCTTAAAAGTGTTTTTTTCTTCTTTTCTGGGAATCAGACCACACATAATTTACAGAAATACTGTAGTCTTCATGTTCTAAGGTTTTAAGTTTGTATTTTACATCTCATCTATATTCTTTTGTACATTAGGAAAAAATGTCAATATAAAAAGATATTAATTCACATTGTCCTGTTAAATGACTTTTAACTAAATCAGGAGAAGTGGAAGCTGGTCATTTTGCAAGTACAAGTATTCAACATTTTGTTAGCATTTTGCAGTTTCCAGAGAAATACACAGTCGACTACTCAGCGTGAACCCCACAGGTTGACATTGGTGTGGCGTTCAAGATATCATGAGAAAGGTTATCAGTCCCTAACAATTGAGTATAAGCAGACAACATTTTGCTGGCATCTGATGGATTGTTTATGAATTAAAATTTTACAAACAGATTGTTAGTAACATGGAGTCCATCTCCTGCCATAGACAACTGTTCCGTTCTCCCCACATCCTCTGTTCTGCATTATTTTCATTATTACTTCTCTGGCACTCAAGTAGACAAAACATATTTGGGCAGAGTTTAGAGAAATATTTACTTTCAACATTCTATTCTATCAGGCAGAGTTCATACATATATTGTGGTGTAGCAATTGGAATATTTCACTGTCAGACTTTGTTTAACTTTGCAGTGGTAAGGAGGGAGATCCCACAACACATTAAAGTGATACAGTCAGATAGAGTGAAACAGCAGAGAAAGGCGACGGTTTCTATGTTTGTAACTTGAATGTGGTAGCTGTTCCATTAAAATAAAATATAATTAGAAAGTGTCCACCTGAGCATGAAGTTAGATGCCAGGATAAATAGACAAGCTACAGGTTTAAGGTCACAATAGTATGTGATCTTCCTGATCTTTCTTTTCAAAAGGCATTTCATGTGAACCAACCAGTTAATTTTACGATATTTTCATTTCCATGAGACTGTGTTCACTATGCGCCTTCAATACACTGAATAATATTAAAACCAGTCTCATGCCACTGCCGCCCTGAGGTTGGTTCTGGGGAAACACCCTGGCTAGTCACTGAACATTCCAGTGGTTTCAGTAACATGCAAGATACTTTCATTCTGGGTGAAATCAAATCCCAACCAGAGAACAGGAAGAAAAATAATCCTTGGTGATAAAAGTTTTCCATTTTAGAGTAAAGTTCTCAATGGGTAAGAAGAAGTGAATCAGAATTGACGAAGATATTATGACAAAGATAGTAAGAAAGACTTTGATTTGCCATTTAATATTCAAATTGGCACTGAAGTGCTGTAAGCCTAATTCTGGATCCGGCTTGCAATTGTAAATCTGAATTTGGGTCAGATTCACCCTGTGGTGCTAAACGTCCACTGAAGTCAGCTGGGCCTCGGTTTCTTCACGGGAGGAAGATTACGATTCTGAACATTCGCTGTAAAGTGTTCTTCTTTAGTTAAGCTTGCTAGTACATCGGAGTTATCATTGACTAATGACACGAATGCACGTCTTACCGGAAATGCTTGAATACTCCGTATCTATACCTTATTTTTGGAAGCTTTTCAGAAGATGTAAAGGCCAGCACATGCTGCTTTTTGCCTTATCCGGTCAGTGTTGCATTTTCTTTCCAGGACGGCTGGGAGGGCTTTGCTTTTGAGTAAACAGCAAGTGTTACATCAAATTGCAGTGCACTCAGGACAGTGGGCTTTATTTATAGTCTCATTGACTGCAAAGGATTGCAAGGCGGTTACATCAATAACACATGCATTTTGAACCCAATTTATGCAATATTCCACGAACAGCTGAGCAAACAAATGAGGGAGTTGAATTTTCATTCAAATGTAAAACATAATTGATGCTTTCCAAAACCCGGTCTATTAACCCATTCTAAGGGAACATCCATGTGGTTAGCATCCAGTGGGCTGTGTCAGAATCCCTTGGGATCAGCAACTTCAAAAGCTTTGCGAGTGCAAAAGTTTAATAAGGACTAGATTAAAATATCTGGAAAAATACAGTAAATTAGAATCATAGACAATCTTGAAAAGATGCAAGGTTTTTAATTTCATTTTCACTCGAACACCAATTAAATTTGCAATTGAAACCAGCTTCATGAAAAAATGCTTATGAAGCTACATCTGTTTTAAATGGAAGTCATACTCACCACTGGCTGTTTCTCAGGGAAAAAATATAGCTTATTTAAATGCATGTCATCTTAATATATTATCTATTAAAATTCAACCACAGGCAGTATATACCACATGTTATTCCAAACTGTTATTAATTTCCTGGTCTAAATAATAAATAAGGTTCCTTTAATTAAGGAATTCTGGGATTTTAATGTAAACATGTTGAATTTATAACGTGACACAATGGCTCTGGCGGGCATTGGGGTTTGTTTTGTGTTTTACACTTTGTATAGGAAATCATTCCTTTTCTTCTGCCTTATAAATATTTGGGTTTTGTTTTGTCAATGAAGATGAAATAGATGAATATTAATCGGGTTCAGTGCTGGCTGGCACTTCACTTACACGCGCTGGGAGCAGGTCTCGGCCTCAGAAGCAGTTTCCTGCACCTGCTGTACGATTTACTTCATGAAAAGCTGCATGAAGTTCGCTCTTGACAGAACCACAGAGCCTGGAAGAAGTTGCCATAGAAAGTATTCCAGGCCGGCACCGCGGCTCACTAGGCTAATCCTCCGCCTGCGGCGCCGGCACACCGGGTTCTAGTCCCGGTCGGGGCGCCGGATTCTGTCCCGGTTGCCCCTCTTCCAGGCCAGCTCTCTGCTGTGGCCTGGGAGTGCAGTGGAGGATGGCCCAGGTGCTTGGGCCCTGCACCCCATGGGAGACCAGGAGAAGCACCTGGCTCCTGCCTTCAGATCAGCGCGGTGCGCCGGCTGCTGCGCGCCGGCCGCGGCAGCCATTGGAGGGTGAACCAACGGCAAAGGAAGACCTTTCTCTCTGTCTCTCTCTCTCTCTCACTGTCCACTCTGCCTGTCCAAAAAAAAAAAAAGTATTCCGAACTTTGAAAATCTCTGTGGCTCATTGAGTCCAGCATTCTACAAACCTAAGTAAGATCTTCAGCCTTACCTTTCCAGCTGAGTAGCTTTGATAACGTGTCCCCGTTAAACACGGCAGCTCTGCACGGATGAATCAGGAAGACACCACTGTCATCCTACTTGTCGTATGGTCGTTAATTCCCATGGAAAATTACATATAAAAATTCATTTCATTCACTGAAGCTATGAAGATGGACAACTATGGGAAATAATGGATGCATTCCCCCATTCAGGTGTCTTGTTTGCATCCTGGGTAGTTTGCCTTCCATCTGTTGAGGAAATGCTGCTCCCAGCTCAGCCATGGGGATGGAGGTGGAGATTTGCAGTCCTGCGGCATAACGGGGGTTAATGCACAGGCATTACCAGCAAAGGCAGACAGCCGGGGAAGGAGCTGGCCACGGAAGGCATACCTACCCGGGACGCCTGGAGGATGAGAAATAGTCAAGACTCCCAAGGCATGATGGGATTGGGTAGCAGAAGTAGTCAAGAAGAAACAAGAGGTCAATGGCGCCCCACCCGATAGCCGTGAGGGGCAGAGACGCCTCCCCCAGGGTAGGCTTCAGTGTGATTCCTCTTCTGAGGAAGGAGATTGCTCTCCCTAGAGGACACATCATGGACCGAGGGCCAGAGTGCCTAGAAGAGAGATGGACAAGAGAGTGCAATTAGAGTATCAGATGATGGTTGAAGGAATCCCAGCCAAGCTCCAAGGACGCAGGGAACACTGGGTGTTACGTTGGGCACCTGCATCTTAGGCGACTCCAAGAGCGTGATGGGATAGGTTGAGGAGACAGCAGAAAGAGGAAGCAGAGAGAAGGTGTCCATCATTCATTCATTCACTTCACAAACGTACACGGAGAACCTGTAAATGCTAGCTGCTCAGGATCCGGCAGTGAATGCAACAGCCCAGACCTCTGTCCCAAACTGAGGGGACCGATGACCATGTCAGCTTCACCTCTGACTCCTGCCATGAGCCCTCCACCTTCTGCCCCACAGCCTCCCTGCCTGCAGGAAGGGGCGAATGGGGCACAGCTGGGCTTGGGAGCACTGAGTGCCCCAGCAGTGCCCAGTCCACTTTTCTCGCTGCACATCTCACGGAACAGTTGTGAGGGTTCTGTCTACCATGCTTGGATTTTCCCTCAGCCGTGACTCACATAATGTGCCTGTGTTGACTTTTCTGCCTTCCTCTCTCCCTCACTCCCGCTCAGTTCCCGCAAACAAGCTCCTGCCTCAGGCTGCCGTGGGCTGTGGCGGCAAGATAAGGCACACCCACGTGCACACACACTCGCCCTCAAAAAGTCCATTGAAATGCATCTTTTAAAAATACTGTGCATGATGCCAACTTTTTCACACCAACATGGTTGTACCTTTTAATTTCTTCATAAATTTTTTGAAGTACTCCTGTATTTGTGTGAGAGAGAGAGAGACCGAGAGAGAGTACCAGATTTATTAAGCGTTTTATGTATACTTGTATAAACTCATTTAATCTTTTCAATGACCCTATTAGGCAGGCACCTTACTTGTACTTTGAAAAGGAGGAAGCTGAATTACAAAGAGGTTGCATACCTTGCCTGGCAGCACGTGTCTGGCCAGCATGGAGTCAGGCTGATTCAGTTTGGCTCCAGAGTCCAGCTCTGTGTAATTCCTTCGGGGCTCAGCCCCGGTCAGCTCCACAGGGAGGTCTTGTAAAGATCACTCTTCCCACTAAGCCTCCCTCTCATCAGCTCCCTCCACAGCCACCACAGCAGTCGTCTCAGCATCCTTTCGTCTTGGCTGAAAGATAGGATGGAACCCAATCCAATGCGAGGGAATGTAAAAGGATGCAAGATTGTGTGATCAGGTGTGTAGACTTGCGGCAGTCTGTATTTGTCAAAGAGCAGGGTTTATTTATGCAAGTCTGCCCGTGCTCGTGGGCAGCTCCAGTTTGCACGATGAACGAACTGCATTGGGTGGTTAGTTTCCTAGCTGTTCTGCCTTCTCTTGGTTAGCCTTTGATGGACATGGAAGATTACGTTCTCTGGCGAAGACCTGAAGTGTAGGTCTTTGCACATTAAACAGTCACTTTAATAGAAACAAAGTCATCTCACCCCAACTGAGCTCTCGCAGTCCTTGACAGCTGGGAGCTGGCCTAATGGGGTCTGCTCTCGTCGGGGCTGGGATGAGCTGACCTACCACTTTCAGTTTGTCACAGTGTTTTCCCATGAAACATAAACATTTTCCCAGAACACCAGCGCCAGAGAGGGACACTCCAACACTGTGACGTATCAAGATAAAAGTAAGACCTTCCTTGATCATGTCTGAACACAGACAGAAGCGTGAACATTGTCCAAACCACAAAATGACCAAACGCTCCCCGATCCCGCCTAATGTAAGTGACCGCAGCTTCTGGAGCAGCCACAGCTTCAGCCTCCCTCTGTGTTTCCCTCCTTCTAAATGGTTTGTGAAAAAACCTAATCGTGGAATTACCCCCTGCTTTTAGACAGTGTGCAAAGTAGAGCAAAGCCCTACATCTCTCAGTCCTTCTTCAATCACCCAACGCAAGCCCAAAACGGAAGTTCTTCCCAACAACCCCTTACTCACCTGTCCCATTCTTTTCCCTTATTGAAGGCCATAAACTTGACTTGGTCAACTACAAGGTTGCTCCTCCCAGGCTTTGGCTGGGTGATGCTGACACACCTTCTTCTTCTGTGCAGTGTCCTTCAGTGTGTCCCATTGCCCTGTTATTTTGCAATCATCTCTCTAAAAGCTTATGTCAATACCATGTGTTCTTACTAATGACTAAGTTTTCTCGTTGGACCAGTACTTCACATATTTATTTTTCTCCTTCAGGAACCAACTACTATTTCAGCGATGGAGCTCTCCACTAAACAGGTACTATCACCAAGCATTGCAGTCAAAATCCTGCATGTAATGGGTTCTGTATGATTAGCCATCACATTTACAGAGAGGTTAGCAACTGGGCAAGAACAAGACCCGAGGGGAAAGAAATACTATTCTTATATAAACGAGTTGAATGAATACCGAAGATAGTTTTCATTGTCCCCGTGTTCTATTTTTAGAAACATATTTCCTGCATCATCATTTGTTATAAATTTTAATTTATAGTAGTTCTTTCTTGGTCATTATAATTTGTTCTTTACTCAAGAATCATTTCCCTCTTTTCTGAGTATATGAGGGAGCTTCAAAAATGACATTATCTTTTCACTCCATTTACTATGAATTTTTTGAAGGACTCTCATAGTTTGTGTGTGTGTGTATTTAAAAATAACATTGGTGGATATTTCAGAATATAAGTAAGTTCATAATTTAATTTTACTTTGTGTGTACATAAACAGAAAGCATTTTATAAGGTAATAAAATTATGTCCTGGCTATATCTTTGGAGGATCTTGACTTGAAAGTTAATTTGACTTTTTTCATGAAAAGTAGAATTGTGTGACAGAGGAATCAAATGTGACTTTAAATGTGGCTGAATATGAAAGGAAACCAGAAAAACGGTCACAGCCAGGGAAGTTCTAAAACCCTGTGAATTCAAAGATGAATGGCAGCATTGTAATAGTCCTTCCATTCATATCGAATGAATTCTCTGGCAAGACACTTAAGAAAAAAAATGACTAGTAAATGCTAAATGATATGAACAAAACAAATACAGTTTTAACTTCTGATAAGTAACTTTTTCCTCATAGATGCTACCTTGTCTTTTAATCCAGTGTATCAATGGAAACTTAAAAAAAAAAAAACTTGACTATTGAGTTGAAATTAATTCTTCAACTTAGCAGAAAAAGCCAGAAAGAAGTGAGGTGCTCCCCATGACTACAGTAAAAATATGCACACAAAGTTGTCACTGTGGGGATCATTTCACTAACGTTCCTGAACCACTCGTGTGTTTTAGCTCTGACCAAGATTGAACGCTTGAACAAGATGCTAAATGACTGTGCCAAGAAAATTCAGTCTGGGTCCTTTCCACACAGACGAATGAAAATAGGTTGATAATCTCCAAGATATTTAGGGCAAGTGCAAGTGCAGATACTATTGACCTGATACTGTTATCTTACCCTGCATAAGTATGTCTTCACCTGTTCTGGTAATCTAAAAATTGTCAGATGGTGGCAAGGAAATCCGGGGATTTCCAGGATGGAAACTGAACTGGGATATTCTTTCCTGTAATGATTTTTTTCTAATTTTGTATTTACTCTCTGCTAGGCCTCATAATCAAACGTCATTACATCGCCCTCGCATCTAGTTTTCTATAGCATTCCACTGGTTTTGAATGTTTTAAAATTACCTAAAGAACTGCTGCTGATGTAAGCTTTCACCCAAGAACAAACAAAAATAGGCTAGCAACTTAAATTACTGTGGTAAAGGGAAGTGTCCCAAGCCTCCCTTTGCCATTACTGGAAGTCTGATTTCATTCACATACGACTCCAGTTCATTCCTACTTTTGTGCATTTAAGAAGAGACTCAGTAGTTCCAAGGAGGACAAGTAGTGCTGCAGCCAATTTTCTGGATAAATGACTCATCTCCTGCTCATGGTCCACAACTTGTTAAGGAGAACAGTGAGAGAGCCATGGTGATGTTAAATTGGGCATTAAAAGCACATCAGGTTTCTTGCTAGGGACTGGATTATGCTCAGTGGTGCCTGCAAGACTCCCCTATATTTCATTTGGATAGCATAATTATTTTTGCACATTATTAATCATCCGGAAGAATTATGGCTAAATGAAAATGACATTGATTTATACTTTATTTTTGACATTTTATTACACTTTAGGTCTTTCATTACAATAATTTCAGTTGCCATATTTTTGATTTTCTAGCCTACCTAGAAAACTCTTTTGCTGCTTAAATGTCATACACTCATACTTTAAAGTATTTTAATGTGAACTTTGTTCTTGGTTCTTAAAAGTTCTTGGTTCTTTGATTGTATGACCCATTTGGTCAGCTTTTTAAATTAATTACAATATAGGAGCTGGCAAGTCCACACTCACTTCTGGTTATTGCTACAATATCCTTACCAATCCCAGTGCTGTTAAAATAGAATGTATTCGATCACATTGAAATTGCTGCACTTCCATCTACATTCATTTAGAAAAAACAAAAAAGGAGGGTGTGAGCAGAAAGACACGAAGGCTGGGGAAAGGTTAACCTGACTTCACTTCAGTCACTGTTACTTAACCTGCCCCGATCTAAAGCACCTTTCAAAATAACAATGAAGTTAAATATAGGAAAAGACTGAGACTCTAGTAATATTGTAATAATAGGCCAGTGGAATGCCCTGGCAATATGTATCGGGATAAATGCTTCCCCAGTGGTTCGATTTTTATTACAATTACTTTCCCCCTCTTATTTCCCTTTATTGAATAAATACGTAAGTAAGCTGGTTAGCTTTAAACATACAACCGGTTCTACAGAAACACTCACTATAACCTTGGTAGCTGCCTACATTCTATTAGGTACATCAGTATTCAGCTTCTCTGTGTATTTATATATGTGGATCATAAAGAAGTCTCTGGTAATGCAACTTGGAAACGCAGTCTTAATTCTGGCACTGTCCCCCTTAGACCATTTGTGATATTGAACGAGCATGTCATTGTCCGCTGGCACCCCTGAGACCTACTTCCCTCTACCTAGCATAGCAATTGACCTACACTTGGAAGGCCTTTTGCCTTGTGTCCTGTGTTTCAGTATCAGGCTTACGGTAATTGTTTAATTCTCTGGTGCAAGATAAAGTGAGCTGTGCTCCCAACTACAACAAACGTAGAGAAATCGCAAAATGTTATGTTTATTTCATTTTGTGTTCAGTTTGCAGCTGATATGTTGCAGACATTTTAAAGTGGTGCGGGAGTCCTGAGTAGAGGCTAGTGGGGAGCCTTTCCTGTTTTAATCTTCCCTTTTCTGCCTCCTTGATAACACAAAATCCGTGTGCAAATATGGCATTGTAGAATTTGTACCGGGAGGCGCCATGTAAAAGATCTGTCCTCACGCTCATGTAGCGGAGGAGGAAGGTAGCTCCCAGCCAGAGTCTGTGCCTGGCCCACGGTCACACAGAGATGGGGTTTGGCCAGGCCTGGCCGCCCACCCTGGTGCTTTTGCCACCAAACCTCAGTTCTTGCTTTCGCTGACTGCACCACGTGTTCCTGAGTCTCCTCTCTGGTGATCTTGTGAGTGAGAAGCCTTATGGTCTTACTTACAATAATCTTCCTGGAGCTGGGGCCAGGCAGGACGGTCGTCGGTGTTGAGCCGACCGGTCCTTCGTGGAGGAGCAACACCAGAACTCCACCTGTCTCCCTGACCAAGGCGGGCCCAGACCACCACCCACGACCTGAGCCTCAGCCCAGCAGGACTCCAGAGGTGCACCTGCCCGATCTGCCCATATCGGCCTCTGTTCGTGAGATGCATCCCCGCGCTGGTCCCCTCTGTTGGAAAGCTGACAGGTGCCCTGTCTCCACAGCAACAGCTGTACGTGGGATCCGCGGCGGGTGTGGCGCAGCTGCCCCTGCACCGCTGTGACATCTACGGCAAGGCCTGCGCCGAGTGCTGCCTGGCCCGCGACCCCTACTGCGCCTGGGACGGCTCCTCCTGCTCGCGCTACTTCCCCACGGCCAAGAGGTAGGGATGCGGGGACGGCCGCGCGCCACGCGGGGGGGCCGCTTCTGCACCTGCTCTCTCCTTGAATGCGGGGGGCTTGGGGGCCCAGGCGAGGGGGCGGGGGGCTTGTCCCTGCGTTCCGTTCCTGAAAATGGTGAGAACAATCAGCAAAATGGACCACAGCGGGACAGGTGGGAGCTGCATCCCGAGCACCGTGGTTTCGTGGACCACAGAGGGAACGTTGAGATCCCAGGGCAGGTGCGCTTGGGAGTGGTAGCTCTGCGGGTTCCTTGGACAGGAGGCGCTCAGGGCCAGAGTTGGACTCCCAGTCGACCTCCTGTGCCTTTTCCCCAAAACGCTCCTTTGTCCAAAAACGCTCTTCTTCTTCCACTTCTTGCTTGTCTTTCATGGTCCCGAGGCCACCTGTGTCTGGATGCGCAGAGAGCTCTCAGAGAAAGGAGTTTATTTACCTTTAGAGTCAAGGAATTCACAAGGACACAGTTATACAAAGTCAAGATTCTTTCTAGTTTTCAAAAATCACGTTCTTGAATAAAATTTACTAAGATACACCTAGAAAGTTACCTGAACCAATACATTTAGGTAAAATGTAACTATATAAATTACTGTTAATGAGATTGAATCATTAGGAACAGACATTTGACATTTAGTATTGTGTTATTTTCAGGACAAGCAGTTATGGTACAGAAAAATCCTAGACACATCCTAAAACGTGAAGATTAACTTAATTGTTTTAATATAAATACTTAATATAGAATTTTTTTTTTTTTGACAGGCAGAGTGGACAGTGAGAGAGAGAGACAGAGAGAAAGGTCTTCCTTTGCCGTTGGTTCACCCTCCAATGGCCGCCACGGCCGGCGCGCTGCGACCGGCGCACCGCGCTGATCCGATGGCAGGAGCCAGGAGCCAGGTGCTTTTCCTGGTCTCCCATGGGGTGCAGGGCCCAAGCACCTGGGCCATCCTCCACTGCACTCCCTGGCCACAGCAGAGGGCTGGCCTGGAAGAGGGGCAACCGGGACAGAATCCGGCGCCCCGACCGGGACTAGAACCTGGGGTGCCGGCGCCGCTAGGCGGAGGATTAGCCTAGTGAGCCGCGGCGCTGGCCTTTAATACATAAAATTATAATTAACTTATCATTACTTTATTATTATTTTTAAATAGTCAACATAATCAAACACAATTTTTTTTGCCCTTATCAGTTTTGTTTCATATATAACTTTTAGAAAGCAATTCTTTAGAGTGTCATGCTTTTTTCCTTCTGTTGTTGTAGGGTTTTTTTTTTTCCAAACTATTTATTTACTTATTGCCATTTTTTTCCTGATTCATTGATTTATTGTTATTCTTCAATTTCAATTTGATTTTTTACTGACAAGTTGCCTGCCTTTAGGAAGCCCCGTGTTATGATCTCTGTACACGCTGTGATGCTCAGGTCAGAGTAAATGTTTCTGTCTCCTTGAACACCTGTCATTTCTCTATGTAAAATCATTCAAAATCCTTCCTTTTAGCATTTTTAAAAGCTGTATTTGTTTATTTCCATTCATTGGGAAGGCAGTGTGACAGAGAGAGACAAAGACAGAAACACGTGGAGAGTTTCCATCCACTGATTCGTTCCCCAAATGCCAGCAACAGCCAGGTCAAAGCCAGGAGCCTGGAGCGCAGTGCAGGTCCCCTGGGGGTCACAGGGACTTGCGTGCATGGCCATCACCTGCAGCCTCCCCGGGTCTACAGGAGCAGAAGCTGGGTTCAGAGCAGACCTGGGATCGAAGCCCGGAACTCTAGCATGGGTGCAGGCGTCCCAGAGTGTGTCCTTACCACAGCCCCAACTCCTACCCCAGCTCTTTTTTTCTTTTTTAATATACAGCACATTATCATTGCTAGAGACACCTGATTCTGAAATGGAGCAGAATAACGTCTTTCCCTCAGGTGGCTATATCCTGGAATTCCTGGATAACTGTTCTCATCCCTCCACTCCAGCTTAGGGATAAAACCACTCCCTTCATCTGACAACATGGCCCTCTCAGCGTCCCTCTACCACTTCTCATGGATACCTTTCTGAGGGACGCACGAGTCTGGTTGGCAGGGGCACAGCAGACAGCATCCTAATGAAACAGAAGAGAAAGCAGCATTACCAAGACCCTGCATTCTAGGGCAATTAAGTTGTTTTGGTTACTGGTTATTACAGCTACTATATTCAAAGAAGCTATGGATGTGAATTTTGCATGGCTAGTGAGGTATGTGCTACAACACCTGAATCATTCTACATGTTTGGAAAAATATCAGGGGAAAGAAATGGCCCTAGTTCCTACTTAAATCTTGCGCCCGCATACTTCAGATCACCTTGATGGAGTGCTAAGTTATCTACAAAGTAAGCCCATAGGAACTAAAACACAGTACCACATTAATACTATTAATTGTAAATGCAGTGCTAACTCTTCCCACGAAAGAAATCATTATAATTTTCATAATTCTCCAATAATCAGAATTAAGATGATACCATGTTTGTTATTACTTTCATACATACAGTGATTTTCTTAGAATTGTAAATTTAAAATACAAACTTAAGATGGAGATTCATGTCTATTAATTAAAGAAATCATGGCTAGTTTAATAACAGCAATATGCAGTCTTAATAAAATTAAATCATTTAAGATAAAGATTTTATGCTTCTTAAAAACATTTAGTTCCAGGGGAATTTTCTGTTACTCAAAAAATGTGGAACTCATGTTTGAACTAAGTAGGAATATTATTGCCTTTCCATGTATAGGTCTATAGCATTGCGTGTTTTAGTAATAATCCACTTGGATTCAGAACTTTTCATTATAAAGAAGGAGATAAAAAGAAACCATAACTACATCTATAATAAGTTAAAACCTGTATCTTGTCATATCTTTGAAATGTGTTTATTGTATTCCTACAATTCAAGACTGAAGGAATTTTCATTAACACATTTTTGTTATGCCTCACAGATTCTCCTTAATCCAATTTCATGTTTCCGATACTACATGTGTCTTTGAAAAGGCTGTTTGGAGGCCTCACAGTGTGTATATATTCTTTGTGATGGCATTTTCCAAAAGCTTAAATGGCAGTGAAAAATGCCTTCCCGAGCGCTTTGTAGTTCATGTTTCACAAGTTCTCGTGTTGGCTCAATTCTGAAATGTGCAACATCTGTTTGATAGTCTAATTCTACAAATAGAAATCTATAAATACTTTCAACTTCCAAATTTATGAATACAGTAACAAATCCCATATTTGCAATTCTCAATGGCCTTTGTGTGGGCTCCTCTCAGGGAGGGGAGCTCATTTTGCTGCGAGACAATACCCATTAAAATAACTGCAGAAAATCGTTAGGCAAGTGTTTCCCAGTCTTTTCCAGGCTGTCACACAGACCCTGTCTCAATTTGTAGCCTTTTCCTCCAACCACACATCTTGTCTGCACCACAATGGATGGAGCCCCGCCTCCTCCTTCCAAGCCAACCATCAGTGGTGCATAGAGATGAATGCTCCCGGAAACAGACCCCAGCATGGAATCTAACCTCTGGATCACAGAATTCATTGTGGTTTTTATTGTAAAATTTGGCTTTGCTGTTAGGTTAGTTTGTCACTTCTCCTTTATCTTCCCCTGGCAAAAAGCGGCCCAGCCCTCAGCCCAGCATTAGGGGTTGCTTTTCTTGTTTTATTCACTTCACAGGCAAATTGGTTTGCAGTCAGAGGCTATGATCATAAAAAACTGCTTTAAAACATATAGGTTGATATAGCAACCCAAAAAAAAATTCAAACACGAACTTAAAAATAGAATTCCTGCTCTTAATATGTTAAAATTTAGCACCAGTCTATTTAAGGACCTCGCACAAGCATTGAGAGAAAGGATACATTCACAAACATTTTCATTTCAAGCTGACTCCCTCATTGATGACCAGAGACAAGTTTAACTCTACTTACTGAAGAAATGGGCTGCTATGCTAAATGTTGTGCTTTTTCTCCGAAGTTAAGCCCAGGGTGTCTGGATGTTAGATAGTTACTGATTTACATGTGGTTGCGAAAATCCAAGAAAATCTGTTATCAGTATTTCAAAGGACCTTTCACACATTATTAGCACATTTCTGTGTTTGCTTCATATTTTGATCATCTTGGAAATGGCTCTTACAGGTATAATGAACCACTTAAAATATCTTTTAGTTGGATATAGATGCTTCTCTCCCAATAAATCACTCTTTGACATAGATCTTTTTTGGGGGTAGGGGGTGTATTTTATTTGAAAGTCAGAGTTATGTAGCCAGAGGGAGAGGATTTTCCATCCACTGGTTCACTCCCCAGAGGGCCACAACAGAAAAAGCCAGGGGCCAGGAGCTTCATCTGGGTCTCCCACATAGGGATCAGGAAACATACACTTGGGCCGTCTTCTGCTGCTTTTCCCAGGCCCTTAGCAGGGAGCTAGATCAGAAGTGGAGCAGCTGGGACATGAACCGGCATTCAGGTGGGATGTTGGTATCACAGGCAGTAGCTTTACCCAGTATGGCACAACACCAGCCCCTGACACAGATTTTTGATTGTTCATTTGTTCTATGACAAAATTCTAAGAGGGAAAATAGATACAATAATAACTTTTAAATGTAATTGTTTTAGACGCACCAGACGACAAGATATAAGAAATGGAGATCCACTGACTCACTGTTCAGACTTACAGCACCATGGTAAGTCACAGTTTTCATCTTTCAACCTGTTAGCACCAGGCTAAAATCATGAGCGATGAGGCCTGTCCACCCATACGTGTGCAGTGCACACACCTCTCCCACAACATGAACAGAAATACACCTGCGGGGAAGAAACACCGCAGAAAGAAAATACTAAAGACGCAGAGCACAAAATTTGTTTTACTATTACAGCATGATAAGTTCAATATTTTAGATGCTTACCACATTGAAACCTCAACTTGCTGAGTTCAGGTTAAAATGCTTACTTTTGTATACAGTAGCAACAATATGTTCCTTAAAATATATCAAAGAAAGTATAGTCTTAAATTAGTCTGGCATATCACACATGTACATACTGGTAATAGAAACTCACATCTATCCTGATAAGACGGTATCATAATCAAGTGGAAACTAATGTTGATGTCCACACTGAATCACTGATGGTGGACTCCCTTGGAATGGGCATTTTGGACCAAAATCCTCTTAGGTATCCTAAAAGATGCGAGAGCCTGTTTGGTGTCAAAAATCCTTGTTTTGGGTAGACACATCAAACAATCTGTACTGAAAATGTGGTAAAATTGAAGTGATAGCTCCCTGCCCCCAGGTCCATCCCTGGTGAAAATCATCATTAGGTTGTGCTTCCCTCTGCTGGGGGAACTGATCAATGACAACACTGCTAAGGAGCCATGTGTGGGCGAAAATGGCGGAAATGTCAAAGGGACTGAATGTCATTACCCTGATACCTTTGTTGAGTTTTGTACGTTAATCCTAAAAGCAGCCCTAGCAGTTTTTGTCAAGCAACATCTACCTGATTCGCTAATTCTTGTGTAGAATGTTTGTCTTTCGTGAATGCTAAGAGAATACAGCCAGCAAAGTGCACGTGTTCCACAGCCTTCTGAACTGGGACCCCCTCCTGCTACCTCCTCTGGGTGTGCTGCATTACAGCAGCAGTGCTCATGAGGTTATTGGGGGGATGTCAGTACTAGGAGATAGGTGACTGTGAATGAGTCTGGGGTCTCCAACTCAACTTTGCTTGCAATATTTTCTCACACAGACTCTCCTGTCCTCATTATCACCCAGGAAGAATACACTAAATTGCAACAAGTGGTGACTATTTGTGTATGGGTCTCATGCATTTATTGATACTCCCTCGATTTTTGAAATGCGGTATTTCCACTGGAGGATAAAATATTCACTTCAATATTCCATTAATCTATTTTATGTAAAAATATTGTCATGATCAGACTTATTTCAGCAATGAAGTATTATGAAATGTTAACTTATTGAATTAAAGGATCTATTTGTTGGGGTAGATGTAGAGTTAACATTAATAACTGGAAGAGAACCAAGAGAGTAGAACTGGAACTCATTCCAAGCAGAGGCTAATCTGCAAATCAAGGTGAACCTACTGATTCTGCTCATTGTTATATGTCTACAGCTACAAAAAGTACCATATCATGAACATGACAGATGTTCAGTGAAATTTGTTGAATGATCCAAAGATCTCAGTCGATAATATATCCATCTTAGCATTTTTCAGTGGAGACTTATACAAAATAGCATCTATTATTGTTTGTGAAAAAGGCTTCAAGTTATCCATTATCACCTCTAACACCATTAACACCAAATCTCCCCTAAGAAACATCATTTTAACCCATCAATTAACTAATAAATGTTGATTATAGGCCATCATGTGTAGGGAAATATGCTGTGTTTTAAAAATCACTAGACATCATGTTCTGTAATCCTACTGACACATCCATTTGTTTAACCATCCATTCCCTTTACAGACCCACTTAGTATTTTAAAATGGTATTGACGTTGGAATGTGTGTGTGTGTGTGTGTGTGTGTGTGTGTGTGTAAACTGACCGAAGGGATTTTTTAAAGTGAGACTTTGGATGTGGTGGAATAAACATCATTGACCATGAAGTGCAGGGCCTTGGGGATGTTTCTGATTTAGAAGATATATTTTGATGAAATGAGGGTGCCTGAACCCTGTAAAGAATGGGCCTATAGCTAAGAGTGACGTAGCTATGGGAAATAAAGTGAATGTGGGTGAACTTTTCTCCAATTCTTCAATCAGAATGCACACTATGGAGGGAAAAAAAGGGGGGATTGCTCTAGTTCGGAGTTACAGGGTTGTGAGTGTGTGTGTGTGTGTGTGCGTGCTCAACCCTAAGTAGATTTACATGATATATGGGAGGAAAGGGTAAAGTAGGTTGAGGAACTGTGTAGCAATAATACATTCCTTTCGTGAAAGCCTCCTCATTCCTTGTCTGTTTGTGCTGCTTAATTGACCAAATATAAAACATATACACCATAGATTACAGTGAATTTCAAATGTTTGGAAACTAAGTCAGGCATTCCCATTTGGCCAGGCCATCTTCCCATTAAGAATCTGAATTATCGTGGAATAATTGATGTCAATATTTGAAAGTAAAATGGGCAACAATCCAGAGCCCAGCCCTGTTAAATCATTGTTGTCTTGCTAATGTCACTTCTCACATTGAATAAAATATATGCGCTCCTATGGAAACATATAAAGATATGGGATGTTTGCACAGAAGGCTGCTAAGCAACATGAAGCCAAATTATACACTTCAGGATGATCAGTTCCAGCTGTGATGGTAAACATATTCTGTAACACTCTATATTTTACATATCCCAGGGTTTTAACTCAGAATCAGGATGAAAGAAATTTCACTTTAGATGAAAACTTTAGCACTCACGTGGCCAGCTGTGAACTGGCCCGGGTGAGACACAGAAACCCAGCCCCGCTTACCCTGGATCCCAGCACACTTCTCTGTCACCTGCAGCTGTTCACCCAGGGAGCTTTTAGTATCAAACCCTAAATAAATGTGTGCTGGCAGGTCTCGTCTTCCCACTCACACCTCATTCAGGATGCTAAAGAGAAACCTCAGGTTGTTTCCAATCTGTTCCCGGCCCTAAAATAATTGCTGTGCATAAAATTGGAACTTGCCTGACTTTGCAGTGAAGAAAATGACTGGCCAGTTTACCTCCACATTATCTCCCACTCCCTCATCCCTCCTAAATGAAAATGAACCGTGTTTTGATTTACACGTCCAGAAAGATGGGCAAATGCTATGTCACACATGCCGAATTTCTTTAAAAAATCAAAACGGCATCTTATACTTCTCTCTAGTTTAATGGCATCATTGAGTTTCTCTTCCTAACCATTTTCTTGGCTATTCTGCCTACACACATTTCCTTTGTGGCCTTTCACAGTAAAACATCCAGAGACCTCAATCTTTGAAAGTATCTCCAGCGCTAGCCCCTCTCAATGTCTTGGTTGGCAGCAAAATCATTCCACAATGTCATCAAACTCTCCCTGGGCTCTGCGGAGCTGTAGAGTTAGCACTTTGCAGCAATGCTGTTATGAATTGTACCCGAGCTTCTTTCAACCATGAGTCTCAGCATTTAGCCCCAAAAGGAGTCTCAAAATTTGATAGATGAGCATCATGTTAGGCTCTGAAAATCCCTACCTTTAATAAATTACCAAATCCCATCAAGTCTAAGATGACAATGAATATAAAATGACTACTGCCCTGTGCACTACTAAGATGGAAACTGCCCAAGATGGACAGTCTAGGGGATGGCCTCAGCCTCCAGCTGGTACACCCAGTGACTCAGGGGTGTTCTAAGGAGAATCCACTCCCAAGCAGATGTAGATGGCAGGGAGAATTGCCCGTTTCAACCACAATCACGGGTGGCAGAAAGTGAGGACGACCCTCCTTGAGCCACAAGGTGATATGAATCTGTCCTTCCTGGGTTTGCATTCTCTGGAGGACCCAAAACTTCAGGCGGAGACTTTAAAGAGCTATAAGGCTAGTAGGGGTCCACATGTCTGGCAGATGTAGGGAAGAACTCTTTCTGGAAGCAAGCAACTTCAGATCAAGAACAGTTTCAAGACACATGCTGATATCAGAGATATTAAAAAGGATGGACCAAAAAATTTTTTAAGGAAGTGTTCATCCTCTGATGTTTCAGCAGCAAATAATCCAGTTTTATGCACTCTATGCTTGTGTGACACAGGCCCCCGCACCATGAATAAGAGGTCTGAAAGATGTTGCTATCTTTGTTCCTTATTAAAGTCTCTGCCATCAGAGATCACCTGTATACATCCACAATGTAACTGTTATAAACAGAGTTGCTATGCATGCTGTGTTTTTTAATTCTAAAATTTAAAAGTATCAAATATCATTCAAATGCAAGATGGTATTTTCATTATTGTTTATGGAGGGCTTCTGCTTCAGCAAATGGGTGTTTTCCATCTCCCATCCTCTCTCGTGGGGGAAAGTAAATGAAACATTAAATCCATGTTTCCTGACTTTTTAAAGTAAATGTATGGTAATTTTACTCTGGCATTTAGATTATTCGTGTTTTCTTTGGTAATGCATTTGCTTTAAAATCATGAAAATAAAGCACACCAGATGCTCAATATAGACTAAATATTACAGTAGATATCTCCATGTTGGTGTTGCTTTTTAAGTCATTGAGTTCCAATTTGTCCTATACCAGGAAGCACTGCAGCCTATGACATCATCAGATATTCAGTACAGTGTTACTGTATTTATGTACAGTATTATGTATTTATGTACAGTGTTATTGTATTTATGAATATAAATACAACCATGCAAATGGTTTCCTTGTTAACCTAATAATTATTTAATCCCATTATCATATATATATCATTAGTTTTATTAGTAGTAATAAAATTGAAATACCCTGGCCCTGGCTGTCTGTTTATCCATCTACCTATCTATATACAAACTAGCACATTTTTAACACAAATCCATAGGAATCTGCGAATCCAGGAAACAGTGGAAACTATTTAGATTGTAAAATTCTAAATGTTGTATTCTGGTTGATGGTTACTTCCCAGCACCAAAGACAAAGCTTAATTTAGGCTATAAAACAGTCATTCAACAACTTTAGCTGATTTTAACAAGTTAATAAGTTGCAAGATTAAATTTTCTCT